AAATAAATCCATTTTTCATCACCCGTTACTATTCGATGCAGAAATGACTTCCTTTCATACCTTTGAAGCAGCATTTCACTGACGATTTTTCGATTTTCCAATTGCTTGTCATTCAATTCATGTGGCACCCATCTTCCCATCTTTTGGATCTTTCCCATCGCTTGTAATCATTCACAAATTGCTACTCGGCTCACATTCAACTTTTCTGCCAATTGTTTTTGAGTTTGTGTTGGGTCTTCATCCAATAACTCCTGCAATTCCGCATCTTCAAACGTTCTCGGCCTACCAGGACTTTTTTGTCTTGAACGTTGAGATCACCACATTTGAATTGTCGAAACCGCGTTTCACATGTTCTTATGGTTGGAGCATGCTCACCGTAAGTCTCTACCAGCAAACGATGACTTTCAGCGGCATTTTTCCTTTGATTAAACAAGAAAAGTAATACGTGCCGCAAATGCACGTTTTCAGGCACAAAACTCGACATTTTCAAAAAGTTATTAATCTATAACGCTATTATTTTGGCGGAACGTAACTTGTGTAGTTTTGAGGTTAATGTCAGTAGAATAAAATGACATATGTATCAAATCATAACATTGCATACACTCAAACGCAAAAAACCCGGTACACTAAAAATTTGGGAAAAAATTACAAAATTTCAAATGATCATAACTTGGTAAATAATGAAGATACAAATATGCGCAGAAATGCAAAATGAAGCTTGAAACGTCCTCTTTAAGAATATCTGAATGGCAATTATGCTCGGCCATTTTTTTCAAAATGGCGGATGATAAAGTGAGAGGATGCAAAATTGATAATCAAAGGTCCGTGTTTGCGATGGTGCATGGTGTGCATCAGGTATCGCAGCGTAATGGGACCAAATGCACATGAAAGTATAGAGTGTTATCTTTAAAATGCTACTTTACCAAGCTCGATGTGATCATTTTTCACTGAGTTGTTCCAAATTTTGCTAAAAATGCGGTTTTCTTGTTAAATTTGCATAATTCAGTGAATAAGTATCGCATCAAGCTCTATAACGAAATATTTTAAAGAAAACATTCTATACTTTTAGGTACTTTTCATCCCATTGAGCTGCGACATTTACTTTGCTCCATGCGCCGTCGCACGCTCGAACCTTTTTTTAGCAACTTTTCATGTTCTCCTTTTTATCACCCGCCATTTTGAAAAAATATCGTTGCGCACAATTTTGATAGATCTTTCGAAAAGTACGGTTTCAAAGCTTTCAAACCGTTTTTGAAATTTGCTGCTAGGATATTTAGGTGTCGAGATATTCAATTTCGAATTTGCAACAAATGTCGATTCAGCGAGGCTTAAGAGGCTAAGAGGCTCTGCGGTTCGTTTGGCTCTTTCATAATTTCAATAGCCGCGTTCATTATTCTCTATACAATAATTTACACAATTTTGCGAATTGGAAATTTAATTTTTATCAAAAGTTATCATTCTTTACCCTTCAGTTACGCATGATCACTGTGATATACACTTTAGTTCGCGAAGCTGTCCCTAGCTCTCTACCTTCTCCGTACGATTGGCCATTATGGTACACAGCTTGAATATGCTGTTCAAGATCGCGCCTGAGTTTGCGGTGCGTTCAGGTGGTGTCCGGCGCGCAGGATGCCGAGTCGCTGGACACCACCTGAACGTCGAAATTCCCTGGCGCTCCTAGTCCACGGAGCCGCCGCGACGCGGCGATCTGGGTTGTCGTGCGCGCGAGCCCCTCGGCTCGCACGCGAATTCGAGCTGCCCAAGGCATATAAGAGTGCCCGCGGAGATGATCAGAGATTGCCTTCGTACAGCTTTTGGCCTTCGTACGGTCCACCGCCGATAGTGGACTATCTCTTGTACGCTGGACTTCGCGAGTTTGTCAGTACGCCGGGCTTACGTTCTGGCTTGACTGAGATTCTGTCGGTGCGCCGGGCTTTAACGCCTGGCTTGACTGGATTTTTCTTAAATGTATGTGCCAAGACAATAAACAAAGACAAACAATTTTCCTTTTCCGAACGTGTTCACTCCGATAAGCGCTGCCTCATGCGACTTTTCTTTTTCCGTGATCTTTTCCTTTCAAGGCGCGTTGCTTCGTGCAACTTCATCAATTTAAACCATAATTGATTGTTTCGCATCGAAATTATTGCGTCGATTATGGCGACGATAAATCCTGAAAAGGCTGCTCAAGTTATTGCTTTAATTGAAGATGGCAGAAGTCGAAGGTACGTTGTTCAGGCACTTGATTTGTCAGTGTCAACTGTGCAACGTGCTTATGCCAGGTACTCACAAACCAATTCTTTCCATAGAAGGCCTGGTTCGGGACGTCCTCGATGTACCAATGATGACCGATTTATTGTTTCAAATTCGTTAAGAGACAGACATCGAACATCTGTTCAAATTAGAAACAATTTAAGGGATATCCGCAACATTAATGTATCCGTTAACACCGTTCGGAGAAGATTAAAGGAACAAAATCTGCTTTCGCGCAGGCCAGCAGCTGTACCTTTGCTTAAATGTCACCATCGCGTAGCTCGACTCAATTTTGCAGTTGAGCATAGAGACTGGACTTACGCAGACCGGAGCAAAGTACTCTTTAGCGATGAATCTTGTTTTTGTGTCTATTCTCCAGATGGACGAGAACGAGTTTATCGTCGCGGTGGAGAACGATTTGCAGACTGTACGGTAAGTAAGAGGCATAGCTACAATGGAGGCTCTGTAATGATTTGGGCAGGAATTTCAGCTAATGCTCATACAGATCTGCACTTTTTTGACAAGAATATGAACGCAGGTATACGTGGAAGACATACTCATTCCGTATGTTGTTCCGTACGCACCCTTCATCGGAGAGAACTTCTTGTTTATGCAAGATAATGCTCGACCACACACTGCGAGAAGAGTGCTTGATTTCTTCGATGAAGTTGGCATAAATCGACTCGATGGGCCAGCAAATAGTCCAGATTTAAATCCAATCGAACACTTATGGGACAACCTCGGCAGGAAAGTACGAAATCATGTACCTGCTCCTCAGTCACTGCGAGAACTGCGAATAATTCTCGAAAACGAATGGAATACAATTACGCAGGATGAAATTAAAAGACTAATAAGGAGTATGCCTGATCGTATGAATGAGGTAATACGCGCACGAGGCAGTCATACCTACTATTAGTACACACACACCACACACACAGCAGAGAGGGTTTGGAGTCATTAATTACTGCAGGAGTGACGAACTGCGGGGTTCTTATCTCTGCTGTAACACTACACACATACACACACACACCACAAGGAGGGTGTGAAATCTTGAAATACTGTGGAGCTGACGAACCACGGGGTCCTTATCCTTGTGGTATACAAACACACACACACACACACACACACACACTCTACATACAATGGGACTTTTCCTACCAGTAAAACTCCATGCGGTTTATATTGGGAAGACTTACAACCATAATTTGAGCTAATGACAGCGGTATCTTAAAACGCAATTCATCTTTATTACGTATATCGATTACGCAAAATGAAGAACCTAAATTGAATTTTACTTTCATTTCCCTGGCTTTCAAAATAATAAGTGCAAATAAATGCATTGAATATATTGTGCAGGTTATGTAAATTATTATATAGAGAAACATGAACACAGCTATTGAAATTATGAAAGAGCCAAACGAATCGCAGAGCCTCTTAGCCCCTTAAGCCTCGCTGAATCGACATTTGTTGTAAATTCGAAATTGAATATCTCGACACCTAAATATCCTAGCAGCAAATTTCAAAAACGGTTTGAAAGCTTTGAAACCGTACTTTTCGAAAGATCTATCGAAATTGTGCGCAACGATATTTTTTCAAAATGGCTGGTGATAAAAAGGAGAACATGAAAAGTTGCTAAAAAAAGGTTCGAGCGTGCGACGGCGCATAGAATAAAGTAAGTGTCGCAGCTCAATGGGACGAAAAGTACCTAAAAGTATAGAATGTTTTCTTTAAAATACTTCGTTATAAAGCTTGATGCGATACTTATTCACTGAATTATGCAAATTTAACAAGAAAACCGCATTTTTAGCAAAATTTGGAACAACTCAGTGAAAAATGATCACATCGAGCTCGGTAAAGTAGCATTTTAAAGATAACACTCTATACTTTCATGTGCATTTGGTCCCATTACGCTGCGATACCTAATGCACACCATGCACCATCGCAAACACGGACCTTTGATTATCAATTTTGCATCCTCTCACTTTATCATCCGCCATTTTGAAAAAAATGGCCGAGCATAATTGCCATTCAGATATTCTTAAAGAGGACGTTTCAAGCTTCATTTTGCATTTCTGCGCATATTTGTATCTTCATTATTTACCAAGTTATGATCATTTGAAATTTTGTAATTTTTTCCCAAATTTTTAGTGTACCAGGTTTTTTGCGTTTGAGTGTACTTATGGCTAGTGACATCTGTTACAAAAATCGGAAAGTAATTACCGACATACCTGGTATACTGTTTTCTTACTAAATATACTATAGATATATCTAATATACTGAGAATATCCCTATAATACCTTTTGTAGTATATTATTTTTCGTATATTTTTAGAATATACATAATTCATCAATAATATTCAGTTTATTTATCGAATATTCTAGAAATATTCTAATATTATCAACAATATTTTAATCATTAATCGGACATATCCCTTCTACAATAAGCAATTAGTCATAAGCCGTAAGTAAATTGACCAACCACAGTCGATTATTTAAAAAATAATCAAATGTGATCAATTTGTCTACGGCTTTTGACTAATTGCTTTATATTGTAGAAGGTCTTTAACAACACAGGTATCCAAGAAACGGTCAGAGTACGTTCTGAAGATGACCTCGGGATGTTTCTTCATCTTCAGGACGTCCCTGGGATGTTTTTAGGAGATCTTGCGCTGTCTGGAGTCACCCAATCAGAATCGGGCCTCCGCCCGATCTTCGGCGGAGGCCCGATTCTGATTGGATGGCTTTTAATGCTTCTCTACTCCACTCTCCGCTTTCCGTGTCCATCTGAACGCACGTAGTCACGTCGTATACGAAGATCTTAATATAAGGTAATAATTATATAATTATTTTATTTATAAAATAACATTAACTATTATGCATTAATAAATTTGTACCTCAATAGATATTTTGTTAGATAGGCCAATTCGTTGTATAAAATTTTATAATTTTTCAACTTGTCTTTCAGGGTTATGTGGCACAAGAATAATTAACTTCAGGTTTTTACACTATTTTTCCTATTTTCTTGATAGTTATAAGTTATTCAGACTGCGTCTCAATTTTCCTCCTTAATCCATATAATAATGCTGCGTTTACCCCTTATTCTTTTTTTCCTTAATTCTTCGTCGTACTTAACTCTTTCTTCATTATATTTACTGCACCACTATATCATATAGTCAATATTCTCTTTTTCATATCTACAGTCACACTTAGTGCTATCTATATATACCCCTTTCTGTGAAGAGACTCATTAAAATTATGATGGTTAGCTCTTAACCTGTTGGTGAAAGTAACAAAATATCTTTCTTCGTTGAAATTCCTAAATCATAGTTACTTCTCTTCTCTGTTGTAAAATCTCCCAAAATATTTAATATCTTTGAATCCTGAGTCTCTAATAAGACTCTTTTGTGTGTTAGACCATATTTCTTGTTTAAAAAAAACTCTTAAATCTTTAAAACGTATTATTCCTAACAGCACAGATATCCAGGGAACGTCCTGCATACATTCTGAGGATATAGCAATATCCTCAGAATGTTCTTGGGACATTCCCAGAAGTTCTTGTGCTGTCAGGGATAACTATTCATTATCATAATAACAGGAAAATATTCGGAACATTTTACATATTTTTTTGACTCGATTGGAAGAGAAACTGTTGTTTAATAGACATATCTTTTTATTTTAACATATGCTGTAATAATTTTTGTCATGCAATTTCTCATTTTTGACATAATTAAATAAAGATAGTCTCAGAGAGGATCCATAGAGTCATAATATATATAAATTAATAAATGTCATTAGACGAAATATTGAACTAATATTAACTCTGTACTTACATTTTAGATTAAACAATTGGCTCGAGTTGTATGCGAGGATTTAAAAACATCGTGTATAAGATTAATGAGACAAATCTTCAGCAATGAATTAGCCATGGAATACAGCTGGTATGGAGCGAAAAAGAAAAATGTCTTCAGCAACTTACAATTGTGTAAAGTAATTATATGTAAATAAAATATACAATCAGAATATACATACAGAACTGTAAATCTTAGTTTTTAATTAATAGTGTAATTGATAATTATTTAGAAGAGGCACGCCGCCTCCGATTTTGCTAAAAGTCACATATTTTATGTATTTTCACGTGTAGAAGCCGAATCTGAGTTAAAAATCATTGCTCGGCTCTACAAAGCGAGAAAAATATTATTTAAGATAGAATATGATAGGTTAAGAAACTTGTCATTGCAAGGTAAAATCTGTTCGTTACACTTATTGTATTAGTGTAGTGCAGTATAACAACTAAATGAAAATACTTAAATTAAGAATATTTATATAAATAATTTTGTCACATGTCACCTTGCATAGGGGCCTTTGCTAATCTTTTCAGAATTTGTCATTTTAATGTATGGTAGGCTCATTGATTTAGTAAGACGAAGATTTAAAGATATATTCTTTTATAATTATTGTACATAAAATAGGAGTTATTTTGTGTTGAATTCAAAATAAGACCTATCTTGTGTACAATAATTGCAAAAAAATATATTTTTAAATCTTTGCCTTACTAAAGTGACGAGTCTACCTTATATTAAAATGACAGATTCTGAAAAGATTAGCAAAGGCTCCCATGCAAAGGAGAATGTATCATGAATCAAAAGCGGAGAAATCATAACATATGTTATTCCATTGCGTAACAAGAGGAACAAGATCAGTCCTACATAATGAGATAGCATATACTTACATTCTTCTGCTTCTGATTAATGATACACTCTCCCTTGTGTAGGGGCCTTTGCTAACCTTTTTAGAATCTGCCATTTTAGTACATATAAGGCGAAGATTTAAAGATATATTCTTTTATAATTATTGTACACAAGATAGGAGTTATTTTGTGTACAATTCAAAATAAGTCCTATCTTATGTACAATAATTATAAAAGTTTAGTTGTATACTGCGCTATACTAATACAGTAAGTACAACGAAGAAACTTTACCTTGCAATGACAGGTTTCCTAACCTATCATACCTCTATCTTTAACAATTTTTTTCTTGCTTTATAGAGTTGAGTAACTATTTTTACTTTTGGATCCGGTTTCTACGAGTCAAAATATATATGATACGTGAGTTTTAGCAAAATCGGAGGCGGTATGCCTTTTCTAAATAATTACCAAATGTTTAAACAAATATTTAAGTAATCTTTTTATTTATATATTTACATTAACATAAAATTTTTCAACTTTCTTTTAAGCAACTTAAATGAGAACAGATATTTATTTAAAGAAAACTCTCTCTCTCTCTCTCTCTCTCTCTCTCTCTTTCTAATTACACTGATTTTTAAATATTATATTCCAGGTGTGATAAAGTCGCGTACAATTGCAACAGACGAACAAATTTCTGCTCCCATCAAAATTTGGCTGGCTCATGCAAAGGAACGTGCAAATAAACAAAAAAATAATTGAGTTATTTTAGATTTTACATATATATATATATATAATTTATGAAGAGTTATGATTTATAAAGTTTATAGTTTATAAAGGCAGTACAAGTTTGTTAAGAGTTCATTTATATGTTTATTTATATATGTATAAAGAGTTCATTTATATGTTAAACTAATTTTAAAAATATATATTATAACATATATAATATATAACCAATTATATAATATATAACCAATTTGTCATTTTTACATATATAATATATAACCAATTTGTCATTTTTATTATACCCAAAAAAACCTGCAAAATATTTATATATTATATAAATATTCTACAAATATACTGACAATAAACTAGGAAATATTTCTAATCGATACTAGTAATATTATTAAAATATTATTTAGATATACCTACAATATAATACGAAATATTCTCAGTATATACTGAGTAGACTGCGGAAGCGGACATAGGAACATTCTCAGTATATTCTCAAAATATTACAGTACGTATTTTGGATATTCATGGAATAATTGCAATTTACGTTTGCGATATACTGAGAATCTGTTTAGAATCTACCTGTGCTGTATTGGACTATGGGGGTATGTGTCTAGAATTATTATTAGTACAACAGTGGTAGCTATGCTGAAAGGAATATGCTGCGGGATATTCTAGAATTATTATAAGCACAACAGTGGTAAGATATTATCTCAAATATTATCTTTGGTTGCGGTCAAGACTGCACTACAAATGTTTTGAAACATCGCATATTCTATCTACATTCCATAAGAATAAAGATAGAATGATGTTTCGAAGCATTCGTAGCACTGTCTTGATCGTAGCCTTTATTCATAAAGATTATATTTCTATTGATCATAATAAAATAACATAACGTTAGAAATGTGTGAGGAAAAATATATCTTAAGGATCTATGCATCTAGAATCCCGGAAAACGGTGATATCTGAAAACCTTTTTTTATTAAAACTGTGAAAGTTTTTTTCTTAATTTTTTTAATTGAAAAATTTAGTTTTAAATATTTAGTCATTTTTATTAGAAAAAATTTAGAATTCTCTGAATTATAAAGGTAAGAGGGCACGCAAAAAGAAAACATTTTGCAGTACAAGTAAATCTCCAAGCATCTTAAACGAAAAAAATGAGGTTTTAAAAAAATATGTTAAATGATTTAATTGGTACCATAGTTATTTATAAGAATACTGATTTTTTATAAAATAGCGGAATTTGATATTTACGAATAATTTTATTGAATATAGACCTTAACGTATTTATTGGGTGAGTGCAAAAGTTCGTGCTGAGTTTCAATAGATGGAGTTATAAGCGTCGTAAAGTGTTGTCATTAATACTTCCATCTACATATTATATAACGTTGGAAAGGTGACGTCTTCAGCTGTTATTAAAAAAAAAATCATTTGTTTTCATACAAACTGCTTCGAGAAATATCACTTTAAAAATGAGTACCGATAAGGTGCATTTACGGCATGTTATGCTTTACGAGTTTCGGAAGGAAATAAACGTTGCCGCAGCCGTAAAAAACATTCAGGATGTTTATCAGGATGAAGCACCAGCTAAACGAACTGTGGAAAAATAGTTTGCTAAATTTCGGCACGGAGAATTTAACCTTGAAGACGAGCCAGGCTCTGGTCGACCTTCTGACATTGATGACGATGTTTTGCGTACTTTAGTATTCAATAATCCGCGAATTTCAACAGAAGAAGTTGCTACAGCACTAAACGTTGACCGATCAACCGCTTTTCGGCGTTTAAAAAAGATGGGATTCGATTTGAAGCTCGATATATGGGTGCCCCATTTGCTGACCGAGAAGAACAAAATCAAGCGAATTTCTGCAGCCGTTTCTTTACTCGGGCGGCTCAATAACGAGTCGTTTTTGGATCGACTAGTGACGGGCGATGAGAAATGGGTCCTCTACAACAATGTTCAGCGCAAACGGACATGGAAACAATCAGGTGAGCATGGTGACGCAATGCCAAAGGCCAGTTTGCACCCGATGAAGGTGATGCTCTCTGTTTGGTGGGATTGCAAGGGCATAATCTATTTCGAGCTTCTCCCCGCTGGCGAAACGATTGATTCGGACAAGTACTGTCGCCAATTAACCAATCTGAATCGAGAAATAAAAGAGAAACGTCCGATTTTGTCAAATCGCAAGGGAGTCGTCTTTCATCACAACACCAGACCACACGTTTCGAAAAAGACGCTGCGCAAACTGAAGAGCCTGAAATGGGATGTCGTAACGCATCCACCGTATTCTCCTGATATCGCACCATCTGACTATCACTTGTTCCGGTCATTGCAAAATTATTTAAATGAAAAAAACTTTGACTCTTTGGAGGCCTTAAAAAACGGCGTCTCTTCGTTCTTCGAATCTAAACCGCGCAGTTTTTATGATCGAGGCATCCGTATGCTGCCAGAACGTTGGGAAAAGATTATAGAAAACGATGGAGAATATATCATTGATTGAATAAAGATTTTTGTTTGCCTAATCACTGTGTGACTTTTACTCACAAACTCCGCACGAACTTTTACACTCACCCAATATTTCAAGAAAAAGATTGAGTTTTTGTTTATAAAAAAATTAAGCATAGGGGAAAATCTCTTATGATATCGATTACATAATTCAATATACATATTTTATAAATCCGTTGATTTTTTTTTAAGATGTAATTAAGAGATTTATTTCATATTGCAAAATGTTTTTTTGTAATGCCCTTCTACCATCTTCATAACTCAGAGATTTATTAATTTTTTTACAGAAAATTATCAAGTGTATTTCAAACTATTTTTTAATATAAATAGTTTAATTAAAAAGCTTTTCTACAATTTTCAATTAAAAAATTCTTAGAAATCATCTTCCTTTCTGGCCCTTAAGTGTATACATTTAAATATTGTTCTATAAATTATAAAATGCAGAATAATTTCTTTAATGAGAAATAAAGTGAAGAATCTTGTTTTTAAGTATTTTTGAAAACGTAACACTGAGAGATCACAATGATATACCATCATATTTAATTAATATTATAATTTACATCATATTTAAGTAACATTGTAAAAAACAAGTGATTAACATAATAAATTAATATAGGCTCGTATTACATAAAAATAATTGATTAATATTAGGCCTGTGACTAAGCGTTTTATAAGATAATTTAATTTGATTAAAAAATAAACATTTACAAAAATGGAAACGGTACATTTCGACACTTACTTATGTCTCTTCAGCCGCAAGTTATAATTATAGAATGATACATTCGAATGTCAAAATCAAAGATTCAGTTCGCAGATATTATTTAAAAATCAACATATTTTTTAAATGATAGTAGATTCGTGTGTTGTGTGTAGGTGCCGTTTTTTTTATAGACTCACCATGTAAAACGTGTTTTTTAAACGGTAATCTAACTCCCTGTTCATATTGTCAAATTGTTATGATGTGTCAGGCTTATATTTTTTTAATTGTCAATACTGTTGAATTGATAAAATTGATTTTCTGCTCAATCATATTATATTGACAATGAGAAGGAAATCAATTTTATCAATTTAACAGCATTGACAATTTAAAAAAAATACAAGCCTGACACA